GCCTTTTCTCACAGCAGCTTGAATAATTAAATGTATTATTTTGATGGCAGATTGTAATCCAGAAAGGATTGTGTTTATGAAACGCATGTGAATGAAATTAAATTATATTCCAGTTATAAATGTGCTTCTGATTACAGATAGCCTGGGATTACACAAGATCTGTATTTGAAAGACAACCAGTTCGAAGGGAGCATAATTAGCTTTTTGGGTTAAAATAATTTCTTAATATGAAATTCGAGTGGTATGACAATTAGATTAGACTGTGCAGAAACTGAAATCACACGCTGATACACATAGTCACGCAATGCTGATGTTGTTAACATTAAGAATTTGAGAATAAAGTTTAACAATAATAATAATTTGAACGGTTTGATGTGATAAACCGAGCTAACTGATCTTTAGATTTAATCACCATTGGTAGTGAGATTATGAAACACATGTGAATGAAATTAAATTATATTCCAGTTTTAAATGTGCTTCTGATTACAGATAGCCTGGGATTACACAAGATCTGTATTTGAAAGACAACCAGTTCGAAGGGAGCATAATTAGCTTTTTGGGTTAAAATAATTTCTTAATATGAAATTCGAGTGGTATGACAATTAGATTAGACTGTGCAGAAACTGAAATCACACGCTGATACACATAGTCACGCAATGCTGATGTTGTTAACAATAAGAATTTGAGAATAAAGTTTAACAATAATAATAATTTGAACGGTTTGATGTGATAAACCGAGCTAACTGATCTTTAGATTTAATCACCATTGGTAGTGAGATTTATGTTAATGCTTTTTTCCTGAGTTGGTCAGAACAAACGTGGCAGACTTGTTACTTGTTCAGATGGCATTATCCGGTGAAAATTCTTATTTGGGTCATATTGCAAGACGTAGGCTAGAATCTTTGATTGCGAAGTACAGTAAATATCCACACACCGGTGCAGTGACTGACTGCCACACATTCACCTCAAAACATTAGATTCATCTGTGCCGGAGCACAACCCACGCAAGGAAGATAATTCCGCAGACAGCTGCAATTGCAGGTTTTCAAACAGAGATGGCGACAGAGGCAAAACTTATAGACTGCAGCTTTAAGGAATGAATAAATGTCTTAGCAAGTTTAAAGAATATCAGATGACGTTTGGAACATATGTTTGGTGACGTGCTAGTGTGCTTTTTACCCACAATAATTAAGTGACTCACACTGGATATTATTTAGTGTTAATTGAGTTAAAAGAAACATTTCTGTTAGATATATATGTATTAGAGGCATTTTCCATATGAAACTATGTCTCTTGGGACCAAAAAAAAGAACCTTGCTTATACATTTGGTTAGGATTTTTCCATAAATTTTCTTTGGAATAAGTGCTTTGAAAGGATGTGCATTTGTGTTACTAACAGCATTACCACTGAGGTCAGTTGAACTCCATAAACAATAGCAATGTTTTCTAGGGGTCTGCAGTGTAGTTGCTGGTGGGTGCATGAGATGTAAAAGATGATCTAAGTAAAACATGCATTCAAACACAACAATATAGAAAAGTAGTTTAGCTTTAGAACACCAGCCACTGTCAAACTAACAGACACTACTTAACCCTTGTGTTGTGTTCAGAACCCTATCACACTTATGAGTTTACAAAAGATTGAATCAAATCGTTGTTGATAATATAGCATAATGAGTGATTTATAAGCATTTGTTTGAGGCCGGGTCCTTTTTGCTCTGTAACATCACGCGTGTAACAAGGTGAAAAATCTCCCCCAGAAAAGTATGAAAATGATCAAAATTTTTTTTAGAAGTAGTTATACCCTTTGTGAACAAAGTCACAAAATTTCAGTCCAATGCGATAACATTAACTAGTATTTTCGGGAAAAATAATTTTTTTTCAGAGCAAAAAGGACCCGAACACCACATGAGGGTTAATATGCATGCATGCCATTTCAAATAAAGTTTATTATATGAACATAGGTCAAAGTTGACTCCAAAGTACACAATGGAACATTTTTTAAAAACACTTACGCTTGCAACAGCATAAGTAAAGATGAGACAGGTCAATGTACAAACAATCCCACATTAGAGATTTGGACAGGAGTGTACAAACACACACACACACACCAGTGTACATTGTTATTGAATAGAGGTGTTATATCAACGATCAGGTTTAATGAATTGGAAATGTTCCACACACAGCAGAGATACTCTGGTGTGATCAGCAGTTCAGTCTCTATGTGGCCTTACTTTTCTGAGCTGGTTCTGTCTCTTGTTCATATTCTATCTCTACATAGGCCCGTTTTTTCCTGATTGGGCCTTTGAGTGGAGCCTTTCCTTTTGATTGGGCCTTGGTCTTCTCTTCCTCTAACTCTTCTTCAGACTCCTCTTCCTCACGGGATTCCTCTTCAGCATCCTCTTCTTCATCACTGCTGCCCTTTAGGTTGTTCATATCCTGTAAAAAATGCTCAGGGTTGAAATAATGTCATTCTTTGAGAGATTAACCATGGTTTTTTTTAACGGAATTTAATTTTTATACGTAAAATATTACCTCAAAATCACTGAGATCACTCTCTTCAAACTCATCATCAGCAACAAATTCTCTCGTCACAGGCTCCTGAAAGACAGAAACAAGACCACATAAGTATATAAATAATAATTATTATTAATATTACCCCCAATTAATATTAACCCCATCTAAAAGTGTGCACAAGGTCTCCCGAAGTTGTTTTATTTCAATTGTATTAATATTTCATAATATTACTGTATTTTTTACAAAAATAAATGCAGCCTTGATGAGCATAAGGGACTTCTTAATAGAAGGCTCTTAATAGAATAGAATAGACTTCCTGTAACAGTCATACAAATAATAAAAACACTAAGCTGACAAAAAAATAAAGTTAATACCTCTTCATCTTCCGCTTCCTCTGATTCAGTCTCCTCTTCCTGTTTTTCCATTGCTTTATTAAAGGCGTGGATGGGGAAGTTGTATATGTCTCCATACTAAAAGGGAAAAAAGAAAACTTTAAATGCAATCACTGATCTGGCACAAAAGCAGGAAAAAGATGTGCCAAAGATGCACTTACCGTTCCTTGTTTTAGACGGTCTAACAGTTCTTTTTCTATGGCATTTTCCAGCTGAGCAGCAATAAGAGCTTTTTCCTGTTGGTAAGAATAAAAAAAATGAGTAAATGCAACACATTTAACTCCACATTTGATTGTAGAGTTGTTTTTAAAAGAATGGGTAAAAAAAAAAAAACAGAGGTAGGCCTGTTTAAATGCTCAAACAAAATAAAAATACAAAGACGGGGATATAGTCAGGAATTCACGTATGATCAGTGCCTCACTCACCTCTCTCCTCTTTTCTCTTCTCTCTACTTTTCTACTGAGTGGAACCAATTTTCTCCTGTAAATAAAAAAACCGGCATCATGTAAGAGATTATATACAGTAAGCCATGTATTGTGTAAATGCTGTTCAAATAATCCTGACAATAAAAATTTATCAGTTTCCACAAATATTATGCAGCACAGCTGTTTTCAACATTGATCAATATTTCTTAAGCAGCAAATCAGCATATTAGACTGATTTCTGAAGGATCATGTGTCACTGAAGACTGGAGTAATGATGCTGAAAATACAGCTTTGCATCACAGGAATAAATTACATTTTTAAATATATTAAATAGAAAAGTTATATTAAATTGCAATAATAATTCACAATATTGCTGTACTTTTTATCAAACAAATGCAGCCTTAGGGAGCTTTTATTACAAGGCTACTTGCAAATTAAAGAAATGTGAATGAAATGTTTTAAGTTGAAATAGTTTGATGCGAGATGAAAGGCATCATGGAATCTATGCTGTGTTGTTCACTAGAGCACAGAACGCCGAAATTAAGCAGAATCACAACAAACAACAGAAGCAGATAAGAAAGAGACTCACTGTCGTTTGAGTGTGAGTTTGCGGATTCGAATGAGATACTGTGCGATCTTCGTCAAGCGCTGTTTGCACTTGTGTCGGATGAACTGCGGCCAGTACATGAGGTTCTCATCGATCTGCTCCAAAGCCTTTGCATAGTTTCTATCAAGTTTCACCTTGAGTGAGCGAGAGTTAGCACGGGTTTATTAAACATTTCAATGCGAAAGACATCAAATGATCAACGTGATTTGTTCGCTTTGGTTCCCTTACCTTCTCCCACATGCGAGCAGGGAATGCTGCTCTCTCAACAACTTTCATATAGAGATAACACCGGCCTAAGGAAACACAACAACTATGATGATCAAGAAATTCATATTTTGAAACATTTTTGTTTGGAAAACTGAGTGCCGACCACATGTTCGCAACTGCTTTTGCGAAGTGCGTTTGTACCTTTCTCTTCTCTTACAGTGGCATACTGGCTGTTGGCGAGAGGACATGAACTGCGATTGCACAGGCCTGTGAGGTTGTATTCATTTCGACAGAACCGCTGAGTTTTCGTTCTGTAACAACGACAAGAAATCAAACTGTTAGATGTCATGTTCGTCCACATAAGTTACATACAAGACAAAAATACACCGCTGAACAGTGCAAGTTAGTTTATAATGGTATAGTACTTACTTGACTTTGTAGGAACAAAAACTGTCATTGCCGATAAGGTCCCATATAACCTTTAAAAGACAAATGATTCAATGTCAAAGATGAAAAGATCAAAATTCAAAACCTAAAATCTGAACGTTCACCGCTACCAGTGTTTTATATTTATCTTTTGTTAAGATTTCCTATCAGTTATTATTGGTTCAGTCGCGTCCTGTTCATTCCAAATCACATTTAATTTACCCGTGTCGCTTGTCAATAAATATAGATACGTTGTTTTCGTGAGCTTTTCTTAAAACGCTTTACTTACGTCGTCGTGTTGCATTCTGGCAGCTTCTTTGGACGGTCGTCAGTAAATATATAAATACCAGCGCTAAACTGATACAATAGAACTAACTACCAAATATTTATGATAGCCCAATTAAGTTTTTGTGATTACATAAATACCACATGGAAGTTTCAGGCGGCAGCCATGTTAACAACACCATGAGCGACCCTACTGCGACTCGCGAGAACAGCAATCTCGCGATACCTGAAATGTAGCCTAGTAGGCGAGAGCAGGCGGCTGCAGTGAGGGGAGGAGTACTTGAGTGAAATAAGCGCAGTCAAGACGGACAGTTCTGCCCTCTCGAAGTGAACAGATACCAACGAGATCAAAGGCAGATATCGCGATATTCACATTCACGTGCTGTGTTGCTAATAAACATGATATAATTTCAGTTCTGTTGCTTTTATATGAAAATAAATATGATGAACAAGACACTCAAAGTGCTTGCTATTTAACTCCATACGAAAGGTGTATTTATCATCCATTTTTACTTTAATACAAACATGTATTTTAGATTTTTATAGAAATATGACAATCACATATCTCTCACACAGAGATCGCACTGTCATAGTGTTTGGGGACATTCATGCATAATTTAAATACACAATCACATGGAACCAGTAAAAAAAAAAAAAACATTTTAGAAGAGAAAGCAGCTTCACAGTTGTCTGAACCAATGGGCATTAAAGCCACTATTTTCTATTTTTGAAAATAGGCTCATTTTCCAACTCCCCTAGAGTTAAACAGTTGAGTTTTACCGTTTTCACTTCCGTCAACATAACCAACGTGACCACCTGCTTGCACAGGGAGCGTGCCTTCTGTTGGAAGTTACCTAGCTGGGGACTATTTTCAGGCGCTGCGTAATATCATTGCGCCTGCTAATGGTCTAATCAGATTCAATTATCTATGCTAAGCTAAGCTAAAAGTGCTACCGCCAGACCCGGAGATCGGTTGAATGGATTCGAAAACGGTAAAACTCAACTGTTTAACTCTAGGGGAGTTGGAAAATTAGCCTCTTTTCAAAAATAGTGGAGTGTTCCTTTAAGCGGTGTGGTCAGCCAGTCGTTCCCATCATGCTTGATCAGCGCAGTCGGTGGAGAGCAATCCCACACAGCCGAGAGTTTTTCGGCACACGTCAGCGTGACATCAGAGCAAGTCGGAGGTAAGTCGGACACTTTTCTGACCGGCATGCCATGCATCTCGCGGTGATCACCGGTGATCGGTTCTGCGCAGATTTTGCTCATCTCAAACAAGCCTATTAACGTAATGCCTGAATTCAATATTTCACAATACATGTAGGCCTATCGGACGACAAATCGATACACACTTTATCGACAATTTCTCCGTATTATACTCCCACAGTAACAAACATTCAAAAACCACATATTTTCCCAATGCTACATAAGACCCAAACTACATCCTCTATCAAATCTATATTACCCACAATTCGAATCAGACGGTCTATGTGCTTCTTTGTAACAAGACGGCAGCACATGTCATGAAGTCTCATGACCGAACCAGTCATCATTTGTTTGAATGCGAAAAATCATTATTAAAATGCTTAAGTTTACACAGATCTGTTCCTATTCAAGCTACAGCTTTCTGCGTGGTGGTGACAAACTTGAGTTGTTGATTTTCTTTTCAACATTCAATGCATATTGTCATATATAAGTGAAGTGAGTGAGTTTCTCCATATGGAATGAAAACAGTACTTATATATGTGTGATACAAGGCAAAGCAAGTATCACACTCATGAGAAGTGCATGCTGGGAACTTTTCATTGGTTGCTGCTTAACCCTTTACTGGACAAAGTAGTACCAAAGCCCGTAAAAGGGAGCTCATAGTAAATGTCACTGTTCACTAAGGACTAAACTTGATCACATCTTGTTGAATCACATTTCCAATGCAGTTGTTTTGAAAGCTGAAAATTAAAATGGGTCAGTATCACTGTAGGGTGCCTTTTGGTGTCCTGTACATAAATAACTCATTTGCCATGATAACTTAACATAAAAATGACTATGAAAGGGTGTGTTATATTAGGCTAAGTTTTTATATTCATAACAAAAGCATTACTTGGCTCTTTAGATACATTTTTAGATTTTTTTTTTTTAGTTTTGTGTAAAAGGATGCGTGTTATTTTGCTATGTCCCACTGCTCATTAAATTTGAATGATAGTAGAATATTGTCAAGTCATCAAATTTAAAAATGTTGTGCTCCTAATAATATTTTGTTTAAGAGATTACTCAATTTGAGTGTATTGATCATTTGGTAATAAAAACTATATTTTTTATTTAATAAAAAAGAAGAGTTTGTCCATGCCCCTCAAATGGTTGTCCACCCTGTGGTAATGGGGAATCCGCCCCTCTAAGAAAAGGCCATCCCTTTTAGTGACATCAGGACAACAGATTTTTTTTTGTCTCCTCAGTGGTGGGAATTTCAACGGCTGACGTTAGTAAGTTGGTGACTTTTCAATTGTCAAATTTTCTTTGTATGAATTTGACTATTTAGCTAGTCACAGTCTGTTGTAAGCTAATATGCAAATTGAAGCTCAAACTGTCCACCCTGTCGGCCACTTACACTTGACAGGGTGGACATAGCATTCATTTGTATTTAATATTGCTTAAATGGGGGGGGGTATATCAATGTGATCGAGGATGTAATTATATTATGTATTATTATTATTATATATTTTTTTCGAAGTTGAATGTTTCATTGTCATATTTTGTAGTGCTTTGTGTGTTCTGCTTTATGTGTCCACCCCGTCATGTGCTGGTCCTCCCAGTCATCTCGATATTTTACAATAATATTTTAAATAATAATTCAATCATATCTATATAATCCAGTGTGTTCAATAGCTAGTTGTGGGGGCAATAACATGCAAACAAAAAACTGCATCCAAATATCACAGTTTTCTCCAAATAAGAAAAAATACATGTGCAAATTTATGAGTTTCTTTAAAAACACATGGTTTACATCAAATCTTTTATGTATTTATAATTTGAAAGCAAAAAAATTGCCCTGTTTAGGAAAGGGACATCATACCTTTCAGTATTTTGCAATGAAAACGTATTTAACTAATATATATGTCCATGACAGGGTGAACATATCTTATGGTTTATGCTTTGAATAATGGCCCATAATTATCAAAAAAAATGTGTGGGAGCTCAGCTAATATGTCTCTATAGTACTTGGGTGTCTACTATTTATGACATGACAAAGCAAATGGGAAATTAAAACCAAAATGTTTGAGTATTGTGAGGGTTGAAAGGCACTCTATGGTGATATTGACCCAAATACCAAATTTCAGAACTTTCTTTTTAACTCTATAACAGCATATAGTCAGGACAAAACAGTCATAGCACTACGTCAAAAAGACAGACTGCACAAATCACACACACAAACACACATAATAAACATTGTTTACTTGGTTTTAAGAAATTCAACACCACACGGTTAGACAGGTCTGTTCCTATTAAAACTAATGTTTCTCCGTGGTGGTTTTAAACTTTGACCTCTGGCTTACTTTTTAACATTCAGTGCATATTGTCATGTGTAAGTGATGTATATTAGTTTTTCAACATGAAATGATAAGAGTATTCATATAAAATAGAACACAAAGTTAACAAAACTGGAATCATATTCACGAGAGAAGAATGCTGGGAAATTTCTTTTGAGCGTTTCATTTTTAACCCTTTATTGGACAAAAAACATATAAAGCCTGAAAAAAAAAGGAGTTCACTGTAGACAAACGATATTTAATCAGGAAAAGATGATACACTGATGTTTAACAAAAATTGTATGTCGGATCAGTCAGAAAAGATATAGCAACCCAAGTCAGACCAGTCTGAAGGTCTGACCCAACTTCAGCTTGAAAACTCAAGGAGGAGGTACATTTCAAATTTAGTCTCAGGAGAAGAAGAAGATGAAGATGAAGATGAAGATGAAGAATCTTATATAGCAGATCAGTAAGTTGGCTTTCTCAAGCAATAGTTGATTATGACACAACAACATCTTACCACAACTGAGATGCTGTACAAAGCCATCACATGTAATTATAGTCTCTGAAAAATTAAAGAGTGCAACTTTAAGATATTATTTGTCATTTTTGTAACAAGGTGAGATTAACAAACTACAGGGGAGAGAACAATAAACTCCAGGTACTACATTAAATACTAAATAATAATAATAGCCTAATAATAATAATAATAATAATAAATAAATAACGTTCTGTCAACCACTGCCTCCAGGTTTTTAAATATTTTTATATATATGTTTTTGCATGCAAGATCTGAATTTTGTTAATCATGATTTAAGTATACAGTCTGTAGTCTGATCTTTCAATTAGATAAATATAATAAAAGAAGCTTTACAAATTAAATGGGTAAATTACATTTGTCAAATGTGAGTGTCAAATAAATAAATAAAAACATTATTTTAAAATGTGCAAAGTTCTTAGAAATGTACTTTTTGTATTTAGGCCTATGTTGGTTTCATGCATTTAATGTTTTTCATTTTACAAATATCATGAATTATTCATTCATAAATAAAACATTACATTCATAAATGAAATTCAAAACTGGACTTCACAATTAATGCTAGTAACCTTTGCTTAACTGCTGATTGAAAATAAACATTTTTGAAATTGAAAATGTCAAATTTTGAAACTGACTTCATCCAGTGTTCAGATTTTTGTACTAGAAATGTATGCAAATTAGCGCATATTTCATTAAATAATGCCTCATTTGCATATTTAAACATAACATTTTAGAAAACTTGTAATACAAAAAATGTTTGCAATTATCAATGTAATCAATCAGCTGGGTAAGTAAGGTGATAACTATTATTTAATTTTTTTACCCTATTAACCTGCAGTGTCTCGCCTAGACCGGTGACGACCGCACAGAGTAGCATTATAACAGAACTTTCAAATGTATCTAGTATGATAAAACAGTGCTGCTTTTTTCCCCCACATACGCACGACCAGAAGAAGCGGAAGCGGTCGACTGTGGCATAATAAAAGCTCCGCTGCTTTCGAGCCGTCACGCTCGTTCAGCGGCCTCGTTTCACTTCGACGGCTTTCAGCCTCATCCTGCTTCACTCTACTACGTTAATAAATCATTAGCTCATCCATGAACATGATTTCTGCCCGAGTCCCGTCGGATTGCATCGGCTGTGGGGATGAAGACCACAACTCCCATGATTCCACACTCAGTCACAGCCTCATCAAAATACGCCTTTAATTCTTTGTTTATTTTCAATACGCGCCCTCTAGTGGCGAAAATTACGTATTGTGCCTTTAATGGTAATGTTAGCAAAACTTTTTTTAGAACATATTTTTTGTTAGTTGGGATAAAGATGCAATGATTAAAGTAAGCCTTACTTTTTTTGACATATAAAGCTGCAATGGCCTGGAAAGTTGTGAGGTGTATGCATCACGTATGGTCTTCACTGATCCCTGCTTTGGCATATACAAGTACCTCGCAATCTCCTATTTTTGTGTCCCATCTGGAATTCGTGAGTATTTATTAAGTCTTTTGCTACTCAATCATTAAATTCTTTCCAGGTGATGTGTTTAGAATATTGTGATTTAAGATCCTTATTCAAGAGCCTTTAGTATGGCACATTAGTCAAAGTTCAGAGTTAAATATTATTTCTCCCCTGCATTCCAGAAACTCTTGTAAAAAAAAAAAAAAATACGGAACTTCATTAAAAATAAAGTTCATCAAATTAAGTTTATCCTTTGATTTCTGTGTAGACCTGCATTTGCCGCTCTCGCCATTTAAATACAACATGCACGAATCAATGGGTGGGGCTAAACAGGCAGCGATGTAGAAGCAGGCATTGACCTTCTTCTGTGGAGGCGGTGCTTAGCCACACTACACTGTCATAAAGTGGCACTTTCCACAACCAGTCGTTTTGGCAGATTGACTTCAATATAAGCTGTTTTAGACTAATGAGCAAGTTTTGAGTTCTAAAACTTGCAGGGTGTTTTTATAGTAGGCTACAATGATCTCTTATATGTAAAGAGATCAGGGGAATTTTGGTTTCTCAGTTCATGACCCCTTTAAAGGCTCTTTATGGTTTAGTTCCCAAACCCCACTTATATATTCAATTAATTAAATTAATATAAACGTGTGATTAGTCATAACCCCTAGTGTCTAAACTTCAACACAACACATCACAACAAGCACACGAATAAACCAGTCTCCATTTGAATATGCTTATAAAATGCATGATCAAAGTACACTCACCATTACTCACTAAGCCTGTTTTACATTTATTTTATATGTATTTTTTTAAATTGCCTTATAACATCTTTCTGTTTACTGTAGGTTCAAGTTTAGTCTGTGAACATGAGACGAGTGCCCTGACCTGTGGTTTGTAGGCCTATTCTGTTCTTACTTAAGAGTTTTACTTTTTTTGCATCCAAGAGACTGTAAAAAGTTGAACTGATGTTTTCAGATGATGGGACTGTCATACACATTCACAGCGCTAACTATGGCCGAACTGACAGCAGCATGTGCTCTACTGGACGACCTCCTGCTCAGCTTGCCAAAATTGACTGCTACGCCTTAAATTCACAGACAGTAGTCGCTAGTGGGTCAGTTTACATCCTCAGTGTACAATTTTTCACATGTAATTTAGTCTTTGCCCTGCTGAAAAAGCAAAAGCAAACCAAAACCAAAAGACTAGTCTAGGGTGTTTTCTCCCAGCAGGGTAATAAAATAACTTTAATAATAATAATAAAATAATTTGAATTAAGTTTTTGTTTAATTAATTTATATTTTATTATGGTGTAGATGTGAAGGGAAAAGCAGCTGCTCCATATTAGCCTCCAACAGTGTCTTCTCGGATCCATGTTTCGGCACATTCAAGTACCTGTACATCTCATACTCCTGCGTGTCTAAGTGTAAGTGTTACTGTACAGAGCAATGATACTGCATATAGTTTTCTAATGTGTTGATTAGTTTTGGTTTTGTTTAACTTACGAACTCACTCATCAGGCTAGACTGATAATAGCTTATTACTTTTATGTTTGTGTTTGCAGAGAACGACAGCTGATCTTGTGAATTTGGCCTCTTCAATTCTCTATCAGCATCTCCTCCACTTTAAATGTGCTGAAACTAAATCTATTTCTTAATTTTGCATCTAATAGTATGTGATATTTGCCATCTGTCCTCTTGTAAAGATATGGCAAATATAGTAATGGTAGAATATTACTATGCTAATCTCAATTCAATATTTGTGTGCAGATAAAATCATTAAGACTTTTGCACAAAGCTTTGATTCTCTTTCAGTAAATATTTCTATAGATCTTGCTTGTACAATATGTTGGGATTTTCCTTACAATAAATGCTTTGCAAATGAGAATGAGGTGCGTGTGCATCTTCTTAAAGCATGTTGATTGCTTGTGCCAATATAGCCTTGTGGGCAGCGTGCCAACATAAAGCGCCGTCCTGTGTTCGAATTCTGTCTCAAGGACCTTTCCCGGACCTGCCCCCTATCACTCGCTCTCCCACTTCACTTCCTGTCAATTCTGATCTGTCCTGGCATAATAAATGCCAAAAATAAATCTTTTAAAAAAAGTTTATCTAAAGAATGTTGATTGCAAACACCAGCTTTACCTTATCATCATTTACCAAGTGTTATGAAATAATAACATTTACATATGTGACCCTGGACCACAAAACCAGTCATAAGGGTCAATTTTTTGAAATTGAGATTTATACATCATCTGAAAGCTGAATAAATAAGCTTTCCATTGATGTATGGTTTGTTAGGATAGGACTTGAATATTTGGCCGAGATACAACTATTTGAAAATCTGGGATCTGAGGGTGCAAAAAAATCAAAATACTGAGAAAATCGCCTTTAAAGTTGTCCAAATGAAGTCCTTAGCAATGCATATTACTAATCAAAAATTAAGTTTTGATATATTTACAGTAGGAAATTTACAAAATATCTTCATGGAACAATAAAGAAAAAGAAATGGCATAAAAGAAAAATTGATAATTTTGACCCATACAATGTTTCTTTGTCTATTGCTAAAAATATGCCCAAGCGACTTAAGACTGGTTTTGTGCTCCAGGGTCACATATATCACAGACATTGTAACAATACAAAGCTGGTTATCCCTGCCTTTTAACATAAAAATTGCAAATAATAGCCCAAACCAACTTATCTTTCATTGACTATGAAAAGTCAATGCCCATGCCCACCGATTTATGTGCCCTGGCACCGGCTCTGAGTAGAGGTCTGTTCCACTTCGCTTTTAGACACACATTTGCAAACTTCTCTAAGTACTTCCCCTCGGGGAATCCCCATTGCCAATTTGAAGTGTGTTCCACTTTGTGAAGTGGACGAGGGAAGTTATGGACAGACCCTTGACCCCTCAGTTGTGTACTTGAATTCTTTGTGAACATGGCTCTGGAACGGAGTTTCTAACCGCAATCCTCTGGTCTGCACTTTCCTGCTCCACATCACCAGGTCCAATATCCACAGCAACAGAAGGTACATTTCCACTGGGAAGACTTCAGTTCACACCATCTCCCATCGCAAACTCTTATGTCTGATTCCTTTCCTATAGGTGCTACATGCAGCAGTCCTCTCCCCTATCTGGGAAGCTTCTAGAGCAGCAGGTCGATGATAGCTCCTTGTATGCTTGTATCCCTCTTCTTCTTTATGACACCGAACCTTGGGGTGTTGCTTAGCAGTCTGATCCTTGATCATCCTCGATAAATCAGCCATCCTCACCCATAGACTCTGAAACAAAATCCAGCAAAATCAATAAACAGTGTTTTCTGCATAACCACACCCTTGTTTTGGCTCTTTCTTTATGCTTTCACTTCTCTATAAAGTACATTCTTGAACATATTACTGGAATCAATTTTATACTTAGTCCCCATAAACTAACATTACAATATCATATTGTTTCTTTATGCTGCATAAGAATATAAGCATTAATTATTAAGCAAAGTAACTTTCTTTTGAACTGAATACTCGAGCTCACTCTCAGTAATACAAAATACACAATTAAATTGAATGAGTATAACAAACATTTTTAACCAATACTGTAAACATCCACAGAACTAAATCATTAGTACTCCTTCGATCCCCGCATATAAACAGCAATCACATGTACATTCACGTTGCCGAGACAAACACCCTGCTTGTGAACCATGTAAACTATGTTTGCAAACCATACATTAACATTAGTATAGGATTTCAGTGTGTTGGAGCATTTTTGTTAAATTTTAAGTAAATATATAAAACACCCGGGCCATTAAAAGCTGTTAGCACCATTTTGACAAGAGAGTACAATCGCCGTAAAGCGTATTAATTCATTCATAAAATTTACATTACCCCACTTAAATGTTACATACGTTTTACTAACATGTTCTCTTGACTGGATATTGTGACAGGATTTACCCACCTATGCAGTGGCATAGCAAGCCCCGGGCCCGTATACAAAAATATTTGTACGGCCCCCCAAACGTTATAGGTTAATGTGGGCTCCAACTATCCTTATTGTTGTCTTTTGTGTTCACAAGCTGTTTTATTGGTATAAATGCGTGGAAATTATATTTAATGTTTTCAATTTGTAGCATGCCAGCAACCCAATAATCGCAATAAGCATTTTGTTACTTTCAATATAACACAGATAGTATCCTTTAAATTCTGTCAAATTTATCACGAAATACAAACAATAAATGTGTTTAATTTAATTCTCTGGGTCTTCAAATTCATCCGCAATGTCCTTGGTGTTTAATTTAAGGCTTCATGTATTCTCAATGGAAAGAAAGGCTGCTTTCGATAGTCTTTTGATAAAAGAGAATCAAAATGAAAGAATTAAAATGGTGCAGGTGTTGTTGATGCTAAATGTAATACAGAAAAAAAATTAATCGTTGTGGTGCAGGAACACTGCATCTTATGAACATTTTCGAAAAATTGATATAAATCATATTCAAATAATAAATACAGAATTTTTTTTATTTTATTCTTTGTTCAGATCGTAATTTTAAACATTCTATAGTTAACTTAATGTCTGAATAGTAAAGAGTAATAGAAAAAAACTACAGTATGCATAAATGCCATTTGAAAAGTAACTAAACAAATGTGGTAAAAGATGTGTTAAAAATGTTTATCGCTTATCCCACCTACCATATATATTCTTATTGCTAAATATAATCCCCCTATAACATCATGTGTGGAAAAGTTCTTGACATTTATGGCCTAATATGTCAGCAGTGAAATGTCCATAAAAAATCGGCCTTCCGAGACGACTTATGACGTCATAAAGAGCCTTTAAAGCGATCTGTAAAGAAGTGTTCTAATTGACTCTTGGTAAGTTCAGAGGTGAGGTTCGTGTATATAGGGCTGCACAATTAATCGAATTTCTAATCGTGATTACAATTACAGATGCCACAATTACGTAATCGTTCAAAGCGGCAATTAATCTTTTAAAGTCCACTTATGTTATTCTGCACGCTTAAGATGTGTTTTTTTCTTTCTACAGGTTATCTTAAGCGTTTTTCCATTGTTTTAATTTTAGTTTTAGTATAACATTATAATACCATGCATATTTTTACTTTTTTTTTATTTAAAGAAGAAACCAATCCAATGTATAATTGACATTTGATGCTTAATACAGTAGAAAAGCAATAAAAGTTTTTAAGTTAGTGTTTTCAGCTTGTTTATTTTCATATCAAAATATGGCATACAGTTGCTTCAAACAATGGTATAAACATAATTTAGTGTAAATTGTGATAATCGTAATTAATAATCGCAATTACAATTTCAAGGGAATAATCGACAATTATGATTTTTGCCATAATTGTGCAGCCCTAGGTGTATATGTACCTGTTCTCCTTGCAGGATTACTGACACGTTTTTCTTTTGGAATTTTGAGGTATTTTACCTGCTGACCGGCACGGGATTGCACCCAGCTTCAGTGCAGACCCTCTGTGTGTAAAAGCACGTGAAGTCGGTATAGTTGTCCCCTGCTGGGCTGTGGTAGGCTGTAAAATGCAGGGGGCGTGTCTTCATTCATAGGGAAAATAAATGTATTTCAGTCCAGAGATTAATTTACATTTACTTAGGTGTTTTATGTAACAAGTTTTGCTCTCTTTCACAGCTTCTGACACAACAGGAAGTGGATGAAGTTCAAAAAGAGCCAAAACTGGATGTACAAAGAAGGTACTACAAGACATGGTGTGAACATGTAGTGAAAGAAGCTGGTAAACAGATAGATGCAGCACTACAAGTAAGGTGTTTGTCTAAATAATGAAGCTGATGTGCTTGTGTGGATTCAGATGTAACAAAACTCTTGCACTAAACTTGTACTATTGGGTGCTGTGGGTCAGTGATGACATGGTAAAGGAAGTTGTGTAAATATGGATTGACTCAATTAATGCAATATTCAGATCTCCCTCATTGTCATCTACTGAATTTCTATTTTAGATTTTGAATTAAACGATTAAATAAACTACTAAGAAAACACATGTAGGACTGCTTAATGAATGTCATAAATAGTGTAAATTTGTGATTGTTAACTGTAGTGTGTTGCTGTATGGTTTTAATCTTTGGCATGTATAAAATACCACACTCACTTTTCCAGAAACTAGGACCATAAACAGACATAGAGAGAGTGTCCGACATATAGATGAAGTAATTAAACAATGCCATCTTCTGTTCAACACTGTGAATGAGAAAGTTACAATGTAACAATTTTTATATAATTGAAACAGGCTGTTAATGAAAACCATGGTGGGGGGGCGGGGAGTTGGATCCACATCTAGGGGGTGGAGATTGGTAGGTTTAGGGGTGGAGATGGGTAGGTTTAGTAGTGGAGATGGGTGGGTTTAGGGGTGTAGATTGGTGGGTTTAGGGGTTGAGATGGGTAGGTTTAGGGGTGAAGATGGGTAGGTTTAGGGGTGTGTTTAGGAATCAGGGG